ATCGTAACGGATTTGGATTTCGAAACCTTACAATTAGTTTTAGGTATCACGGGGAATAATTCCGGAGTCCTCACCGTTGCTCTTTCGACTGCCGCTGTCTTCCGCAAGTGAAATCGGAGCAGTGCACAGTACTCCAGTGGGGAAAAGTGGGTTAAGTATTGATTCACCGGTTACCGCTCGGAAGGGTCGTCTTGGCTTAGCGAAGTTTGCGTTCAGTTCGTGATCTCACAATGGATGTGTCAACAGACCCCTTACGTAAACCGCATTGACATTCCATAAGTATGGTCGAGAGCTATCCAGCTTACCTGGGTATCCCCCTATTTAAAATTCACCGCATAACACCACTCCCGTTGGATACACCAGAAATTGATATTTACATCTGGCACTGTACCTCCGGTTAAGGCTTGTGGATAGCCTTACTTGCTGTCTGGCGTAGCCTCGATCGATTAGAATTCGGCTGGATTTGCTTGTTTATTAAAATATTTAACCTTTTTGCATTTGTAAAAGTAAACTTCGAATATAGACACAGACCCAAGGTTTTCGGTAATAACCCAAACAGGGCTACATAATGCCTGTTTCTAACTTCGATGTCAACTCAAATATTCTAACTGCAATGTCGTAACAGTTCCCAACCTTTGGGCCGATAGCCGTTTACTTTGAAAAAATAATGCATTTTATGATTAGGATGTTGCATGAATGGGCGCATTTTGCAATAAAGAAACAAAATCACTGAATCGAAACACGAACCGATTCATTCTCGTTGACTAACTCTTCAATCTGGCCATTTATCTCGCTGACGTAGTTGAAGAGCGCAAAGTTGCGATCCTCTTGCCGAAGATAACTACCGACAATATTATCGATGGTGCTTTCATTTGTCAGCTTCAGCATCCTCTCAAAAGCGTGTTCATAACGTTTGATGGACGCCTCGACTTCCAATCTTTTCTCCTCAGCTTCCACAGCTCGTTTAGCCTACAAAGGTGGAATAGTGTTCTTCTATAAATTGAGCACCCAGTGGTCTCCAAAAAGAAATGTTTATGTGTAGTAGACTTTATATTCAACTTTAGTATTATTAATTGCATTAATCTAGGTAAAGCATGAGATATATCTGACAGGCACGCGGACAATTTTTTATTACATCAACGATAGTAATAACCGGTAAGCACCCGAGAATTCTTAATCATCTAAAATTTAGTATTTGCCTATCCATTTCGGAACATGCTGTCGGTCCGAAAGCTATATAAGAGACTCATGGGGATGCCCAAAACTTAAGATCTTGGGGCAGACCCATAAGTTGGACGTAGCATAGAGACTGCTGCTTCGGACATTTCGGTCAAAACCGGCGTGAAACAGTGCCAAAAGTGCCAATCGCGTAATATCAACATATTATCTACTGAAGGTGTATATCGAAATTAACGAAAATTACAATGTCACTAATTTAAACAAGATGCAGCTGTTTTAAGGTCTAAATATTTAATTTGCTTGTCGTAGTAGCTTGTAAGATAAGTGGTTGTTGGAAGAGTTTTTTATTATAAGGCACAAAGGTTTCCATTAGTT